TGTAGAAAATCCAGGTAATTGTTTACAAATATAAATAACAGATGTAGGTGGTACTTAATGATCAACACTTAGGAAATAGTCTAGGATGAATTGTAATAATTAATAACTATTAATTTTATTTTAATGAACAATCTTAATAAGTAGACTTTGATTTTGTACAGGAACTAAGAATACGAAATACAATTTTTTAAATGATAAAACAATGTTTTGACTTTTGGCGTCAGTCGTCGCAGAATAAAATAGTTTAAATTGTTGTGTGATAGTGTTATCACAGAATAGATTAAATCTACTCAGAGGTGTTATCACTAACCAAACAAAAAACGGGAATATTTAAAAATGTAGGTAAGTACATGCACTACAAGTTTTTAAAAGTTTTTCGGCAAAATAGATTAAACTTAAAACTAAAAACGATAAAATATTATGGATACTGTCTTCAACATTTTTTATTATATAATTACGTGTACGGCGAATTATGGAAAATGGAAAAGTTATTTTTTTTATTGTTTATTCATTTGGAATAATATGTACCAACCTATTTAATATTATGCGCCTTGTTTTTACAAACAATATATGCACACCACACGTCAATAGTACTGATAACAGTCGCATACATTCTAACATTATGTACAACTATTTGAATTTATCTAAAAAAAAAATACAAACGATATCACACTATAAGTCGTCCCCTGATGACAAATTCACCAAAACCTACTTTACAAAGATACATATCGAATGGCTTATTGGGAGAGAGTAAGGCGTTAGCATTCAAATAAATTAGCAAACATGAAAAATGTTACAGCCAATACCAGATAATACCTATTATATTATTATATCAGCCAGATAAAAAACATTTGAAAAAATGAAAACATATTACAGCCAACAAAAAACTTGTGGCACCAAAACGGTTTATATAAAATGAACAAACACGAAAAGTTCAAAAGATAAATTTACGATACTTAAGGTGAACGGAAATTGAAAATGATTCGTTGACATTTTACAGCTATTAGTTTTTTCTGTGTTTTTTAAAAACTATTACTCCATTTAGTAAAATATAGTAATGTAGTAAACTATTAAGTATAGTACTTAATAGTCAGTATCTGTATCTGTAATCAATGCACATATGTAAGGATATTAAAACATTCATGAAGTTGTTTGGGGGAACGGGGAGTTAAAGGTACAGTAAAATAGGTATTGAAATATTGCACAAGAAAAATAAATAAAAAGTAATGATGGGGTCTTACAAAATCCACAAATACAAAAAACGATAAATGATACTATTTGTAAGTCTTGAAAAAAATACAATTCTTATAAACATATGTGTATCGTTATACGCATACCATACTCGTAAAGTTGGACCAAATGAATTATTAAATCTGAATGTGATTAGATATTATTATTACCTAATGAACATATTTTTCGGGTTTAATATTTTATTTGAATAATATTGTCATTAGTGCAGTATCAATATAAGAAAAGAAGGATTTTATCCGATCAAAAAATTCCATACGAATTTGTGGATACTTTGTGACAAATTAACATTCAGATTTAATAATTTCTTTGACCCAAATATGCTAACTTCTTCTGTACTGATTAATACTGTACTTGAAATGGACTTTAATAACGATCCAACAAAATATTTCGAAAGATAATGTAGGGAATGGGATTTAAGCTTAAAATGCGTGTAAAGTCAAGTTGATAAAACAATCAAAAGCAGCTTAGCAAATCGCTGCAATTTTTAGCTTAAATTACAAACACCAGTTGTGTATCAAGCTGTTAATCTTAATTAATAATTCCCAAATCGTGTGACAGTATTTAATATACGTGCATTACATTTGTAGGATTGTAAAAAAAATACCACATCGACACATTTCGTTTGGTATCAAGTTATATAGTAGATAATTATTTTAAACAAAAAATAACTACACTATTAGGATAAACACAATATTGTTATGTTATTTTAACGTTTCCCGCCACGTCATATGCGAATCCCAAATTTTCGAACCAATTGACCCAGAAGCCATCGACATAAGCATCGATTTCGTTTTCTACATATTGCACCATAGTCATTTCTTGGGATCAGTCGGTTGATCTTTTTGTGCATGAATTCTTCGTTTGAACCCCACGGAGTCAATTCTCTGTATGCGGAAATATTGCAATTCCGGTCGGTATACCAATGTATGTTAGTCCTTAATAACATATTGATATAGTCGGTATGATTTTTATTTCGTGATCGACCGCGTTCACGTCGATATTGCGTTGAGACAATTTCGTCAAAGTTCTCTGCCTTAAATTCAGAGTGTACTCGCTAAGTTTTTGGGTGGCGATTACTACACCATGTTTACCTCTCGGATGTGGACCTAGCGTGTATAGAAAGTCCAAAGCGTCCGTCATATAAGTAAACTTTGACGACATCATTTAGAGTTTGGTCAGCACCGACTGAAAACAATCGTAATATCCTTGAAACGATCTGCCGGACCCAGTTTTCTTTCCTTCTCGGCACGCCCGAATCAAATTATTTATGTAAATCTTACACTCGCATGAGGTATATTGTTATTATATATTTAACTTTTGTAAAAGGTATTATAATAACAGTCTTTACAAAATGTTTAATACAATTTAGAACAATACACTGGGTAATTATAAATCTACAATTTACGTTTCATACAATAAATCAGCTATTTTTTTAAGCAAGTCAAAATTCTATTGTCTAATTATTATATAATATTTAAATACTTTCATTTGCACACACATAATTATCAAATATCAATAAATAAGACATGGGTAGAAAATAATATGAACTAAAAATGTATTGGGTCAATATTTAGCTATTAATTTATGTTACATTCATAAATTGTGTAAAGCAATAATGATGGACTGTGAATATATGTACTTAACTCCGTGCAGATGGTGTAATTTAAACTATATAGTAGCGTTTTAGATAGGAATAATTGTTTTGTCATATTGTTACAGTTGTGTACCACAGACACAGATTGTTATTTTATAAATAGGTTCTACAGCAGACAAAAACTTAAATAACCAATAATAACAGTTTTTTATTATTATTAAACAAAGTGTAATGTATTTCAAAAAACAGTAAAAAGAATAACGGTACAAATAATCATTGAAATTAAACAGGTTTGATCAATAGTTAAGTGCATTTACTTGAAACTATTTCCTCCAGCTTGAAGTGATGGTAGAAGTCAATTTGGAATGGTAAAACTCAACTAAGTCGGCCTATAAAATATAAATCATTACAAAATATTAATAAATAATTGGCATTGTTCACAAGTAATATAATTACACTTTTAAATTTTTTTTACAAAAACAAAGTTTGAAAATACATAATGCCATTCCATTACATTACATAAATTTAATAAACTTTTATGTCTTTAAGTATAAATCTCTGTCTTCCAAGTGTGTACAAAGTATGTAGGTTAATATTTATTTGGTATGGTTACAGCACAATTCCCCTCAGAAAAATAAAAACAGATATACCCGAGCACTATTGCACAAATGTCATATCATAATAAATTTTTTAAGAAATTACAAATTACCTAGTTAATTGCCAATTTCGCGAGTTACATACCCATTGACTTGATGACCAGCTCTCCGTAAGAATCTTTGAATCTGTCCTTCTGTATAGTCATGTGTCATTTCTTCAATTGCTCTTGTATTGGATTCCCTTGTTCTTGTTGAAACACCAACACGGATCTGCAATTTAATATAGCACATTAAAATAAATCATAGACTAAATCATATGATTAAGATATTACTCACTCTGAGGTTGCTTAAATTCAACCTCGCTTTGATTTCCTAAAAACCTCAATTGATCTATAAATAGATTAAATAGATTAATATCAGTTCTACCATTGATTAAAAATATGTATTCTACTGTATGAAAATGTAATATATTTTTAATAGACCTTACATAAGAACTTACCAATATACTCCTATACTTTAGGATGAGGCTTCAAAATTTGCAATAGCATTGAATGGTAACTTTCTAAATAATTATTTGTCCTAATGTCTCTCCTGAATACAGAAATATTATCAGGTCCAATTTCTACAAACCAGAATCGATACAGGTAATCATAAATAAAAGTATTGAACTGGTAGGCCATATCTTCATCTTGGAGCATATAGAGAGCCATAGCGTTGAATCCATCAACCATTCATAGAATTCTTTCAATCCTGTGCGGTGGTAGATAAGGTAATACGAGTACCTGCAAAACAAATCATCGGCGTAAGTTCAAAAAAAGTAATTTTTGATTTATTTTTTTAACAAAAAGAATACACATACCATCCCAAAAATTTGAGCAGCAAAAGCATTTTCTTTCACCAAATTGAAGACACCACCAGCTTGTTTCTTGTATATTTTTTTTAATATTATTTCTAAATCTTGTCTACAAAAACGCTAGTTTTTATTTTGATTGTAACTTGTACTGCGTAGTCAAACTTTTATGACGTAGTTTGTTGTTTACTTTATCAATTTTTATTATTTTATAAAAAAAACAATTTGTCAACATAATATAATTAACTGGATATGGATTCTATTAAGTCACAGTTAATATAAAGTTGATTTGAACAGAACTCTACTTGTTGCGGATTGACTAAATTTAATTGAAGCAACACTAAATTGGCAGCCATTTCGTGAGAAATGATAACATGAGCTGTTTATAAAAATACACTACCAAAAAAAAAAAATAATAATAATACGAGCCAAACCTAACAGTACACAGAATTGAAGTATTATTAATGAGATCACAGGAAAACCAAGTAAATATAAAAATAAAATAAATAAGATTACAAATAAAGGTAGTATTCTTATTGAATCTAAAACTGAAATTTGTAATGAATTAAATGACTAATGTAGTTTAAAGATATTAATAATAACAAAGACAGTATATATTTTCTTAATCCAATTATTATTATTTTTATTACACATAATATAGTAAAATAACAAGACATAGGACATGTGTTATTTGGTCCAATATATTTTTGCAAAAATTATTGGTAGACATGACGTAAAACAGAAATTAGCGTACAATATTATGTACATAAAAATGTATTATGTGGAATACGTTATTGAAAAAATCCACCAACCGTTTTTTCCCGGTCAGCTTAATTATATGTATATATTTTAGATATAACGAAAAAGTGACAATGATAAGGTTAATAATAATATTATTTTATGAAAATGATACTTTTATATCAGAATTAACGGGAAATGTGGGTAGATTTTGTGGATGTCCACGTTGTAACAGTTCCTTGAGTGATTCTCCTGGTTGGTCATCTGCGTTTATTTTTGACCATGTGGCACCGATTTTCCTGTATCTTATTTGGGTGTCATTTTTATCCTTAAAGATACATGTACGGCTAGTTGACTCAATCCTAACTTCTTTTATGTATAATTCTGGAGATTGGCTACTCAAGTACAATCCTAGCAAACGACAATTTGGTAGTAAAGAGGCCTGATCATTTACACGCTCCACAGATTCACCTAAAAAATTTGAAATTTATTTTATTATGCTAATATAAACTTAATAGTTTACTACTTTTCTTTATGGTGCAGGACAAAACTATTTTATTTGTTAATACGAAGTCATATAAAAATAATACACTAAGCATAGTGTCCGTATTGTACTGCTATGATATTTGTATAAAATGAAAGTACGTGTTAGTAGTTTAAATTGATTTGGTTAATAGTTAATAATTAAAATCAGTTGTATACTTGTTCCTTTTAAATAACTTAAAAAACGTATGTATATATATATAAATATATTATTAGTGTTCAAAACCCATACAACTTTATTAAAATATTTACCCAATAAACGACGTCTCATTACATTTCTTAAAGCTGGAACGACAAATTTTCTTGTCTCGTTTGCAACTTCTTTCAAAGTTCCAATACCTATAAAAATAGTCATTAAATGACCGTGTTGCGAAGAAATAATAAAAACAAAAAATATATTAGTCGCTCTTTATACATAATTATTGCATTACATTTCATAGCATTGTGAAATAAATAACTTTTTTTACAACCACTTGTTAGTGTTAAAACTCAACAAATATATTCTTTCTATTGAAGTCCCTAAGAATTTATTACATATTAACACTGTGACCACACTCAACAAAAAGTTGAACTTATTAAAATCGTTATCTGACATAGAAAATCAAATAAATTAAATGAGAGTGAATTATTAACTCTAAAACAAGCTTTTAAGACTATTTATGAATATCAAACAAATGGTAATTACTAGTAGCATATGTTAATTTCACTCTATTTTCTGTAACAAACACATTAAACATCAAATCATTATGCAGAATATAAAACCCGCTTAATATATTTTATACATAACATTCACTCTATAACTGAGGTTAATTCAATCAATATTAATTATTGCCAAATGGTATTGTATAAATTTAAATTTATATCATATACCTATGTTTAAATAAACTGTTTAAATTTTACTTCGAATAATTCTTAAAAGCTTAACAATGTATAGCTTGGTGACTTGATGTTATTAATCCAGTTTTTCTTTAAAACTACAAAAATAATTTACTCTTTTTTTTTTTATATTTACTTTCTAAAAGTGCTGCGCCTATGAATCGTATCATATGATCGAGAAATAAATTGGCTTCTGAAATTTAAAACAAAATATATTATAATATACTTACATATTATTGAATATAATTAATATTGTTTATTTGGGTCATGGAATGTAAGTAATAAATATTATATAACCTTGTATGGTATTATATGTGTACACTGAAGAAATCATTGAGTAATATTTAAAAGTTGTTTTATACAAGGACCAATTACGTCTGTAACCTAGATTATATCATATATATAAGACATAGTATTAAGGTGTTGGATTTACCATTCTATTATGGCTGCTGTTATAATTGTAACGTACGTTGTATATATATTATTCTCTATATTGTGTGTTTTTATGTTTAATAGTATTGTGTTCAAACATATTATTGTTGTGTTTTATTTTCTACTTAAATACTAACTTCCACCAAGATATACAGGCGTATATCGCAATAGGTTATGGGCCCAGACACATAGTCTCAGGCACAACAGTGAAGCATCAGAAGACTAAGTATTTTATGTAGTTAAAATTCACTTATTCCAATTGTTCAGTAAGTACTATTTTTAAGTACGTTATCTTTTGACTATGGACGAGTCACTGAAGATTACAAAGCTGAGTAACTCGGAAGGCTGGACACTTTGTAAATTTCAAATGAAGGTAATAATTAATTCATTTGAGATAAGCGGTATAATTACAGGAGATTATAAAAAGCCAGTATATACAATAGCAACCTCCGAGAAAGAAGAGGATGCCAAGAAAAGGTTTCAGTTAGAACGAATAGCGTGGTCAAGGGCTGATAGTAAATGTCAAAGATTAATCGTCACGTCATTGGAAAATGGACCGTTACAATATTTGCTAAATTGTAGTACAGCATATGATATGTGGAACAAATTATTAAGTATCCACGAGCAAAAATCTAAAGCAGGTATACATTTATTACAAAATAAATTTTTCAGGTATGTAAAAGAGCCTACAGATGACATGTCGACGCATATCAGTAAACTACAGAATCTTCAAAACCAACTCGCTCTATCGGGAGAGAAAATCTCTGACAATATGTTGCTAACTAAAATTCTTATGACTTTACCGCCATCTTATAAACATTTTTACAGTGCATGGGACAGTGTACCTCAAGCAAGTAAAAATTTAAATGAACTTACATCTCGGTTGTTAATAGAAGAATCGAGAATGTCTCAAGGAGGTTCAGAAGTTGAAGCAGAGGAATCCAATGCTTTGACTGTCAAAAGATTTCAAAAGAAATTTTTTAAGAAGAATGGTGGTAATGTTGGTAATGAACGTAATTTTAGTAATAATAATACTAAAAAGATAGGTCCCTGTTTTTGGTGCAAGAAACTAGGTCATCTCAAAAAAGACTGCAGGAAGTATCAGAAGTACCAGAAGGATCAGGGTGAGGCGAAATCAGATTTGCCAAGTACAAGTTTAACAGGTCAAGCGTTCTATAGTGAATCTTTGGTTACTGATCGCAAAGAGAATCAATGGTATTTGGATTCAGGAGCTACTGAACACATGACAAGCTACAGAGAGTGGTTTGTGAACTATAAAAAATTCAGGTCGCCAGTGGAAATAAGGATTGGCGATGGTACAAATTTACAGGCAGAAGGTTCGGGTAATATAGACATAATATGTTATGTGGGAAATAACATGAATACAAATTATTTGTCTAATGTGTTATATGTACCAAATTTAAAGTATAATTTATTTAGTACGGGCAAAGCATTAGATAAAGGTTTGAAAATGGAATCAGACAGTAAAAAATGTATTTTTTTGAAAAACAATAAGGTCGTTTGCACTGGTGAACGCAAAAACGGGTTATACAATATGAACATTGAGATTGTACAGCAAATAGCCGACGACATGACATTGACCGAGCAAGGTAACGGACAAATGGAAGTGAATGCGGCAATCGCGGATTCCATTCAACTTTGGCATGAACGACTAGGGCATCAATGTAAACAGTACGTAAAATCTTGTTTGCTAAAACATAATATAAATGTAAGCGGTGATTGGAACCAGTTCTTTTGCGGTGACTGTGTTATTGGGAAGCAAACGAGAAAGCCATTTAAGAGTCGTTCGACTACATCGGGTAAAACCGGAGAGTTAATTTATGCAGATTTATGCGGACCAATGGTAAATAGGTCTCGGGGCGGGTCCCAATATTTTTTATTGTTCAAGGATGATTATACACATTATCGGACGGTCTTTTACTTGAAAAATAAAAATGAGGTCAAAAATAAATTAGAGTTATTTATAAGATCTGTTAAAAATGATTCTGGGAATAAAGTAAAAGCTTTAAGAAGTGATAATGGTTTAGAGTTTGTTTCTAAAGAAGTAACAAGTATTTTACAGAAATATGGCATTCGACATGAAAAAACAATAGCGTACACACCAGAGCAAAATTCTGGAGCGGAACGTGAAATGAGAACTATTGTGGAAGCAGCACGAACATTACTTCATTCAAAGAAGATGGACTTATCATTTTGGGCAGAAGCAGTTAATACATCAGTGTATGTACTCAATCTTACTGGTAAGAGTACTGTTGAAGGTAAAAGTCCATATGAGCTTTATTTTAACAAAGAACCAGATATAAGGCATTTAAGGGTATTTGGAACAGAAATGTATGTTCATATTCCAAAGGCCAAGAGACGAAAATGGGACGCTAAAAGTAAATTGTGTATTTTTGTCGGGTATTCTTTAGATAAACGTGGGTATAGGGCTTATTGTCCAAAAACTAAAACTATAAGAGATTATAGAGATGTTGTGTTTAAAAAAGAAATAAATACTAATGAATTAACATTTAGCGAAAGTGTAAGTCAAGATTATAATGTCGACGAGGAAACACCTCAGGCGGTAGAGGTACAACCAGAAAAACAACTAGAAGTCACGCCAACAGAACTACCAAGTTACAATCTTCGCGATCGAGGTCAATTGCGTAAACCCGTCAGATATGCATGTATTACGTCGTGTATTACAGAACCAATTAACTATAAAGAAGCTGTGAGCTGTCAGAATAAAAATGATTGGATTTTAGCCATGGACGACGAGTTAAATTCATTGCATACTAATGACACCTGGACGTTGGTGCCAATTCCAGAAGGAAAGCAAGTATTAAATAATTCATGGGTTTACAAAATCAAGTACAATGGTAACGGGCAGGTTGATCGATTTTAGGCTCGATTAGTTGTTAACGGTTCTCGACAGATACATGGGATAAATTATAACGAAACATTTTCACCTGTAGTTAGATTTCAATCTATTAGAACAATTTTAGCCATTAGTGCGGCTCAGAAATTGGAATTATGCCAATTTGATATTCGTACAGCATTTCTATATGGTATGTTAGAAGACGAACTGTATATGGAACAACCGATCGGATATGACGACAATTAAGGACGGGTCTGCAAATTACGTAAGTCATTATATGGATTAAAACAATCTCCACGGTGTTGGAATACACGGTTTAAGAATTTCCTTTTGCAATTCAATTTAAATCAAAGTAAATATGATTCGTGTGTTTTCACTAATCATGATAATAATGAAAAATTGATTTTAGCTATTTTTGTTGATGATGGTCTTATTGCGTCAGTCAATAAAACAAAAATACAGGTATTATTGTCTAAATTAGAAAAAGAATTTGAAGTTAAACATGGTAACTTAGATTATTTTCTAGGAATGGGAATTGAGAAATTAGATGATGGATCATTATTTATTAATCAAACTAATTATTTTAGAAATATTATTAAACGATTTAACATGTTAGATGCAAAGGATATCTCAATACCCATTGATAAATCACCGACATTGGATGTTCACACGGATTCGATAGTACTAAAAGAAGGTCAAGTACCGTATCGAGAAGCAGTGGGAAGTTTATTATTCCTGTCACAATTAACAAGACCAGATTTGGCATTTGCAGTTAATTTTGCATCACGATTTTTGACAAAACCAACTAATGCTCATTGGTCGATGGTCAAACGCATTATACGTTACGTTAAACATACAATTGATTATGGATTGGTGTATAAATCTGATAATAATTTAGATTTAAGAATATTTACAGATTCTGATTATGCTGGAGATTTAGAAACAAGGAGATCAACTTCGGGACATCTATTCATGTTGGGTTCATCTACAATCTCTTGGCAAGCTCAACGTCAAGCAACGGTCTCTCTTAGCAGTACGGAAGCGGAGTTCATTGCAGCGTCGGACATTACGAAAGGACTAATTTGGTTTAAAAGTTTTTTACGAGAACTCACTAATAATAATATGTATGATAAACCTATATTATTCATTGATAATCAAAGTACCATTCGTTTAGTTAAAAATCCGGAGTTTCATCGAAAAACCAAGCACATCGATGTACGATATCATTTCATTCGTGAAAAATATGAAGAAGGTCAATTCGAAGTTCAATACATAAACACAGAAGAAATGTTGGCAGATATCTTCACAAAAGCACTTCCAAAGGACAGATTTGGGATGATTCGATCAAGCATCGGAATACAGAAGATATCACAGTAGAATAAGTTAATTTAAGGGAATATTAATTAAGGGGGTGTATTGAATATAATTAATATTGTTTATTTGGGTCATGGAATATAAGTAATAAATATTATATAACCTTGTATGGTATTATATGTGTACACTGAAGAAATCATTGAGTAATATTTAAAAGTTGTTTTATACAAGGACCAATTACGTCTGTAACCTAGATTATATCATATATATAAGACATAGTATTAAGGTGTTGGATTTACCATTCTATTATGGCTGCTGTTATAATTGTAACGTACGTTGTATATATATTATTCTCTATATTGTGTGTTTTTATGTTTAATAGTATTGTGTTCAAACATATTATTGTTGTGTTTTATTTTCTACTTAAATACTAACTTCCACCAAGATATACAGGCGTATATCGCAATACATATTTTTTATGATTGATACCGTGTACCATATTGGTATAGGTATTTTGTCAATAGGTACATATGATTAGTCTCAAAGTATTTGTAAATATGAAATATGAAATATTAAAAGTGGTTTTTACTTTGCGTTTGATTTAAATGAAGATCTGTTTGACCTGAAACTAAAACAAAAAACTTGTTTGCATAAAGAATATCAAACAACTGTGTGGAAACGCTTCCGTAAAGTGTAATGGAAATTATTACCCGCTACATGGGATAAAATATCTCTTGCTTCTGAAATGAACAACACATAAATTAATGATATTTCATTTAATTTACTATTCTATTATGATCAGTAAGACAAATTTCGAAGTAGAAAAAACATGTTTATTAAAAAATCGAAAGAAATATGATCCACTGTATATTTAATACTATGAGTCTCTTTAGAAAATCCAATAGGAATGAAATATTGGAAATATTTTCATAAAATTTAACAAGAACTATTACCCGGTACAGCGATCAAAAAATTAATTTTGCCTGAAATTTACATTACATAAATTAATGATATTGAATATGATTTGCAATGATAAATTATTACTACATTGTATAATTATTAGAGCTGAGACCTCGAATCGAATTTTTCTATTATTCGAATAATCGAATAATACTATTCGTATGAAAATAATTCAAATAATTCGAATATTCGGATTTTCGAACATTTTGTCAAATATATGTTTTTTTGTAATTTATTATAAATCTATATAAATTGTTAAAATCGTATTTTTTGTAATAAGTAATAATATTTATTTTGTCAAAAGATGATTTCGTTATAATTATATTTATTTTGTTCAAAAATTATTAAAAATAGATCAAGGACACCTTGGTTGTCTCTTAATTATTTTTTTTTTAATCTAATTAATCCTGCAAAGAAAATTATAAAATATTCTAATATTCGAAAAATCACATCGAATTTGTTTTATTCGAATAGCCCACCACTAATAATTATAAACTAGAAGACGAAGGTCAAAGTAGAAATAAAATGATATTAAATAGACTAGGGAACCCTTATGAAATGTAATGGCTGAGTTGATGCAGTTTTTTTTCATACAGTTACTATTTAGATTTCGATGAAAAATATAATAATTATAACACTCGTCATTTGCATAAAGAGAAACGTGAGATGCAGTTTTTATAAGATTTTCAAATAATTCTTTTCTACTCTTGCCTTGATGTTTTGTATTATTATTATAAAAATGATTACAGAAATTCTCGTAAGTATATTGATTATTGATATCATCAACCATTTTTTCAATAACAGCCTCCAAACCATCTAAAATAAACAAATGAAGATTTAGGCTATACTAAAATAATAAAGTCAAATCAAATTAGGTACAATACAAATGTTTAGAATAATATTAAACCCGACTTTGAGCAGTAGCCATTTAAGTTCACTTTTCTCCCTTGATTAGATTACTAAAAATCGCTAATGTATAAATTATAATACACTATTATGCTCTGTACACTGTTCTACATATCTGATACACCTTTCTTAACTATTAATAAAAACTAAAATTTGTATTTACTTGACAGTTAGATATATGTAACAAAGCTTCTATATATTATATTAGTATATTATTATAAATATAATATCTTACTTAATCCATGTCTACCATCTACGTCATTCATAAAATAAACCATTTTAAAGACTGCAGCTGAGATACATAATTTAAAACATTTGTATAAAAACAGTGGATTTTGAAAACTTAAAAATCATTTGTTTATAATATAAAATTATTACTGACTTGAACTCAAAACATTATCCATATAATCCGACTCTGTGAAAAAGTGAAATATTAATTTTTTTCAAATTTTAACTACTTTAAGTTGATAATCGTGAAAATAAAATAATTACCATCATTTGCCAAAACACTCGCAAGGAATAGAAAAGATATGAATAAACTGAAGAGTTTCATTATTATCTGCGAATAATAATAAATAAAAAAAACATTTTATATTAGTTATAGTTGCCTTTTGTGCTGATATGAGAAGGTTAGGTTAGGTATGATTTTGCAAGGTAGTTTCAATATGATAAATATTTCCTAGACAGTTAAACGGATTGTTATGTAAAGGAAGGTAGAAATCTACCTCGAAAGGTACTTGATTTGGCCAAAATTACAGTTATTTCACCATATTAAGGATACACAAAGAAAAAACAGGTCTGTTAACAATTTCAGTTGCATTGTATAAAAAGGTTTGTATAATTAGGTTACACTATTCAAAATAGAAATTAGAAAAATTAGTATACATACTTAATGTTGTTATTAAATTCGATTTTACGAAGTGACATTATACACCTAATTTTCCAGCGTCTAAACTTGACTACGCATAATAAAATCTTATTTTTAGAGCGTTTTAATTTCTGTCTAATATACGTGTACAAATTTGTTTTTAGCTTTCCGTTTTAAAATCGTCAAAAATAAAATTAAAAACTTAAAAACATGCAAAACAATTTTTTACGCATAATTTTTCTTAGTCAACCTCGAGTGGATCGAAAGCGAAACTATTCATGAGTTTATAGTGGAAAGAAGAAAACATTTTAGAAAGAATGTCATACCCGTTTTAAAAAATATCTTTAGAAATATAGTTATTACCGTTATAAAAAAAAACCAGTACAGTGGGGTCGGTGCATAGTGGGGACGGAACATAGTTGGGTCGGGGCATATTGAGGACGGGGAGGTCACAGATTTACAGGAATTTTTAAATCTGAAAGTGATAAAATCACTTTCGAAAAAACGCTTCGATGCAAATCGGTAGTTAGTATTTTCAAGCCAGTACAGTCCAAACCAAGCACAATATAAACCAGCAAAGTTAGAAAGTCTTAAATGAAGGTTCTGTATTTACAAATGAGCATCAAAGCGTTTATTTGAAAGCGATTTTATCCAAGAGGACTAGTACAGTAGAGTATCGGCATAATGTAATCAAAGCAATGAGGAAACGGAGAGGTCACAGGTCTACAAGAATTATTATTAATTAAAGTGATAAAATTGAATAAAATCGCTTTCAAATAAAGGCTTTGATGCTCATTTGTAAATACAGAACCTTCATTTAAGACTTTCTAACTTTGCTGGTTTATACTGTGCTTGGTTTGGACTGTACTGGCTTGAAAATACTAACTACCCATTTGCATCGAAGCGTTTTTTCGAAAGTGATTTTATCACTTTCAGATTTAAAAATTCCTGTAAACCTGTGACCTCCCCGTCCCCAATATGCCCCGACCCAACTATGTTCCGTCCCCACTATTCACTGACTGGTCTACAGGAATTATAAATAAAAGTGATAAAATTGAATATTGTGTGTATTGCAGAGACACGCTCCCGCTTACTCCATACACCTCGGAAGTGGGTGTCATTAATATTGACTTGGAACGCAATCTAGGTTCACATTGGGTAGCTTACCGGAAACAAGGACAACACGTTAGTTATTTCGATAGTTTTGGAAACTTACCACCACCACTGGAGGTACAAAAGTATTTTAAAGACTGCACGATTGACTACAACTACAGTCGTTATCAAAAGTTCAACACGATCAAATGTAGACAATGGTGCTTGCGATTTCTGCTGAACACGCTCGATAATTGTTACAACAGTGACGTTAAGCGGTGAGGAGTCCGAATTGCAATGTATATTCAACCCTCCGCTGGAAGTGGGTGACCACTGTGAAATTGGTTTGTTGAGTTTGCACACGTGGAACACTATATCAAATGTTGATGAGCGAAACAACAAGTTTATCGTTGGTACACTGGTCCCCGATGGCGATGATCTGCAGTAGCAACGGGAAGCTGCTCCTCAACCGAATGTTGTTGTCGATGGTCGAAACAACAACAGTACCAAAATGATTGTATCTTCACCGGGAAGCAGTTCACCTCTTTATGTGGTTTCAATACCCACGGGATCGTATGAATTTGAAGACATCAAAAAGATTATCACAACCGATTGGCCAAAGGAAATGAATTCGTTTCAAATAATTGGTAATCACAATACCATGCGGTGTGAAATAACCAGTGATTATCCAGTTGATTTCACTCCTCGGGACTCGATTGGTGAATTGCTTGGATTCCGCCCGAGGGTGTTGGAAGCTCACAAATTACACATATCCGATTCACCGATGAAGATTATCAGTGTGACGTGTATAAGAGTGGATTGCAACGTGATTGAAGGATCATTCCACAGCGGTCGTCAGTCACACACGTTGCACGAATTCTTTCCTAACGTTGCTCCGGGTTACCGTATCATAGAGTGTCCCAAACATGTGGTATACTATCCTCTAAACACATCGCAGTTGAGCACATTGAACATCCAGTTGCGTGATCAAGACGGACACAAGATCAACCTACAGAACGAACAATTGACCGTACATTTGTGCATGCATTTGTTTGATGAGATCCGGTACGAAGTTAACGGCAAAGAGATTGACAAGGTTAAAAACGTCGGAGTAGTGACTACAATCAAAGGATTTTGTTCTTTTACTCCCAGTGATATCACACGGATGCAACCGGCCGGATGGAAACACATCAATGACAACCAGACCAGTCGAGACCTGATGGACACGACAGAGTTTTTTGCACAGTATCCACTATCGGCTTGCATGGGCTTTTTCGAACGGTTCCGTCGTGTCCTGATCAACTGTACACAATCACTTGTGCTCATACGATCGAGCCGGGACATTGGAGCCATAGAGTTGATACAACCGGATGAGAGCATGAAGACTGAAGTAAATACCCCGGCAAACGTTGACCTACTCAAACAGACCACAGTGAACATTACTAAAATCAAATAAATCGTGAAATACTTTGAACCCAATGTGAAAACAGAATTGGGTCTAATGCGTATTCTGGACGGAAAGCGGTGGTTGCCTTTGGAATATCAACACTGGGTCATTGCGGTGTATCCTTTGGTACCTCAAACCACTCATCACACATGGTCGGTACGAACGTTTTCAAACGTTGAGAAACCACGGTATTTGCTAATAGAACTGGGCAAAGAACATTCCAAACTATCTCAATCGGACTTTCATCACTGTACACTGCGCAATGTCAAGGCTTACTTGAACTCTGACGAGTACCCGTACGAAAACTACAATGCTGATTTTGAAGCTGACAAACACACTTCAATGTACAATGCGTACACTCGTTTTCAAACAATATACCATGGACGTACCAATCCTCAACCTTTACTGGACCGTGTCCACTACAAGAATCTTGGACCAATCATAGTCATTGACTGTTCGAAACAGAATGACACTGTTAAATCGTCTACGGTTGACTTACGTATAGACTTTGAATGCGCCAAAGCTTTTCCACAAAACACTTCATTGTACTGTGTTATTATACACGACTGTCAGATGGAGTACAATGCATTTAGTGGAGAAGTTAGGAAATTATAATTGTATATATACTTTGTTTAAATAATAATATCTTATCAGATCCAAATCGGCAAATATGTTGAAATATTTACCCTGCAAACAAATTATAAGATTTAGCAAATTATAAGAAGTAAGATTTTTCATCGTTTACAAAAAATTAATACCTTTATTCTAGGACTGTTTTTTACAAAGATGATTCTTGAAGCGAAATCCAAACATTTCTCCATATACTCGGTGTTTATGATTTTATGAAAACATATCATACACTCGTTAATTTTATTTTTTGGCATTGTCAGTTTGTCAGTATCATTGTCAGTTTGTCATTATCAATGTTGTTGACAACATTTTTCATTATCATTTTTATTTCTCGTACGATCCGTGGTCTTGTAAGTATCAACTTTCGGTATATGTTATCAAATATTTTATTCTTTAATTTATACATCCGCTTTGCCATTTCGAGAGTCAGCGAAATGCCTATTTTCCAGATTGGACACATTGTAGCCGTTGTATGGTTCATAAATGATTGTGTCTCAATCACCATGTAAGATTTCCTTGTGTATGCTTCTATTACTCGCATGGTAGTTTGCTCATCTTGCAATATAACTATACCGTCCAAGCTCCCGGATAGTGATGAGAAGTATGGATAAATTGCATATAATCGTTGTAAAAATTGTATATTTACAGCAATCTGATCGATTCCACCGACAATTACAATTTTCGGCCAAAATAAATCTCTAGAGTCCAGTCCAATGTGCAAGTGTGTTAGAGAATCGATATCATACACTGAAGTGTCGATTAAGTAATCTGAGTGTTGTTGTTGCTGCTGTTTCTGTTGGCTTTCAAGTTGTTTATCGATTTTTTTTGACAAGTCCATCTTGAATCACTACTCACACTAAACTAAAGTTTAATTTATGAAAAACCCAATATATTATAACCATTAAAAAGATAACACAATCTTATCATACACGAATGTGAGAGTACCATATAGAAGAGATTACACGCGCGCAGCAATGATAAACATGTCACACGTTTGCCTTTTGGTTACTCATAAAACATTTTTTTCCCGTTAGGTTAGGTCATAAATCTGTGTGGGATAAGAGTATGATAATATTCCGATTTGACGTCACCGCGAGGATACGACGGCAGTCAATATGACGGCAGCATAAGTACACTCGTGTGATGTCAATTTTTGCAAAAAAATTATACACGTCAGCACTTTCCATTGATAACATTGGAATTTTAATAGGTTTTTAATTGCCCGCGGCATGCACCTGTGATAACATTGGAATTT